ATCAAGCTTCTCGCTACGATGTACTCTCGCCGCCCGTCCTTTTTCGACTTCGGAACACTCCTGGCTCATTCGGCTCCGGACATGACCCGGCTGCACTGATGGCAAGTATCTGGGTCTTCAGCATCGCCCTCTTCAAAGTCCCGGTATCTGCCGGTCAAGGGCCGGCCACAAAAGAAAGGGGATTCGTCCCTAAGGCGATGAACTATCCCTGACAAAGTGTGCACCCTAAGCTCAGCCATTGTGCACTCGAAAGGAAGCCTTACCTGCTTACCCGAAATCGGGAGGGACTCATAAGCCACCACGGACTCTGCGGACTCCGAAGATTCGACGTCTGCTGCCCCCTCCCTGACACCTCCGAGTCTGGGTCGAAAATGCCCTGACGAATGGTTCTAAATATCGCCAGGATCTTTCCCGCCAGATTAATGTAAAATTGTCGGCTATAGATGAGTGTTGACGAAGATCCCCCCCCTTCCTCTTGTGATGTCCCATGAGAAGTCTTTCCTTAGGGGTGAAGATCACTGGCGAGGACCAGCCGCTCCAAGTGATGATCGTAGCCTTGAAACTATGAACTATGAGTGCCTATCGACTCGCCGGGCTCAGGAGGCAGGCCTAGGGCCTAGTGATGTCAGGATCTCCCTGGGATATCCGCTGCTTCTTCTGAAGACCTACGCTCTTGCCCCCAGCAGCCCCATTTCTGAGACCAAGTCGGTAAACACCCTCTATCAAAACCAAGACCCTCTCTCTCCCTGGCCTGTATCCAGTGAGAGGCCCATGGAGCGCCTGTCACACGTAGGGCAGGAGACGAGTCTTCGCCTCTGCCGTCGTCGATGTTTTGGATCCCAGGGCCTCTGCTATGACGAGCTGCCCCTCTCCCTCAGCCGTGAGGATAAGCGAGACAACCTTCTGAGAGTCGCTCCATCTGCATGATGAGTGGATGCAAAACAAGAATTGTCCAACCACACACTTTGTCCAATCAGACCCACTCTCCATGAGGCCCTCGAGAGCCTGGACCCGAGCCCTAGTCAGCGCATCCCGCTGCCTAAGTGGGGATTTCTTCAGTTTAAGATCCTGGGCCACTCCTCGAACCCTCGACGACAAAATTTCCTCCAAGTCCATAAACTTGAAGCGGGCCGTTGCGCGAAAGAACCTCAGCGCTTCAAGAATGTGTGATGCAGTCGATGCCTTGGCTCCATGGTCTCTGATGTTTGCAAAAAGCTTGTAAACCTGGCCCTCACTGAGACGCCACGGGGAGTCAATGGATTCATCGTAAGCGCCTACCACGTAAGCTTGCAGAGACAACGCGCGCTTCTGTAAAGTCAGTGATGCCTTCCCTCTGAAAGCATCAGCCAAGCTCTGCATGATCTCTTCGTCCGAAGCAAGCCCCCTGCCCGGATCCAACAAGCTGCTGCCCAAAGCTGTGGCTTCCGGATCCAAGAGCACAAGTGTTTTCAGCCTTTTAAGGGCACTGTCCCTAATGTCTGCATCTGTTTTGGGAACTCTGATCCTGGCCAACCTCCGAGTAACAGTCCATGGAACTTTCTCCACCGGCTCTGCAGTGATGTCTCTCTCAAAGACGTTTTCAAGCGCTTCACGGACCCCCCAAATTCGGAAGGCCCTCGAACAGCGAGTTGTAAGTCTGTTGAAGGTGAGACGGCTTAGACTCCCAGGGCTGTCTTGTTCTGGACAGCCTTCTCTTCTTGCTGACAGCTGCTGAAACCATCTGCGACGCATCCAACTCTGCCCGTGTCCCATGCAACCATTGCAGCTTGGCAGAATCACGAACGATATCTGAGACGTCAACAGAAGAGGCTTTGGGACCGCTCTCACTGTTAACTAATTCAAAGCTTCCAAGATCCATGTCCTGCACTTGGGAGTACCATTGCCTCTCGTCGTCAGTCAGGGCAGCACCTCCTGCGCCGCGGTCTCCCTCCAAGTGGTCATCTTGGAACAGTTGATTCAAATGATCATCAAAACCCGTGTCAGACTCATGAGGAATATGATGGTCGGGCTCCTCTTGTAAAAGAGCCCACGTTTCCCTCGACCCGAATGCTCCTGCCGAATCTGCCCCCTCTAAATCAGGAGAAGGAGGGTTTGGCTCAGAAGAGGCCATCAAAGCGACAGCAAGTCAAGGGGACAGTCAAGGAACATGGGTGCCGGAGGCACGAGCAACCGCGCACAGCGAGGAAAAAGTCCAACTGTTTGGGCCTCGGGGGCTGTAGTGAATGAACCAGCCCCAGGCCCGGAAAAGTTTTTGAGTGATGAGCTCGTTTGAGCCAGCACTCGTCATGCAGCAGAAATGCTTATGACTGGTGAAGAAAGAGGCTAAACGCCCTCAGTAGAATACAAAAGCCATGCCATGATAAATTCATGTAAAATCATCTGACATGAAAATATTTGAAACAAATCTCAACTCTGTGTCAAACACGGCCTTCGGCCTGTCGCATGTTTTAAAGAAAGTAAAGTCTGCAGGCAGAATAGTTCCATCTTCGTGTTGGCTTCGGATCGGGCGATTTCTTCCTCGTTCAAGGGACTTTGTAGAGCTTGAGCTCCAGACTCCGCTGCAAGTATTCTGCTATTCGCCTCTTCCTGAGCCACACGTTCCTCTCCTTTGATCGTGTCAATCCTTCCTCTCATGATCGCTATTGCAGATTGATTGGTAGAAGATTCCATCCTGAAGTGTAGACGAGCCTTCTCGTTGAGTGCCTCCACCAGTTTCTGGTACTCCATCGCCATGTTGTGACCATCACCTTCAGCTTGCTGTTAAAAATGCGCGAACCTCTGTGATGCCCCACACTTCGAAGCTGCCCCAACTCTTGATGTAGTGATTCTGCCGTTTCCTCATCACGTTGATGTTGAGCATGGCTCGCTGCCTCGATTCTTCTTACCACATGCACATATTCCTCCGTAGAGTTTTGATGTACCCGGTTCACGTGTCCAACTGCATCAGATAGATAGTCACGTTGTCGTTCTAACTCTTCAATCCTCATCGTTGATCCTTGGTCCTCCTGGGCACAAAAGTTGATACATTGCACCATTTCATCCAGTTTCGCGGTCAGTTTCGCCACAGTCGCTTCATGCTGTTGTACTTGTTCATGGTGAATACTTCTCATCTCTTCTTCAGCACGTAATAGCTGCTGGACGACTTGATCACCAACTGCTTGAGGTGGATGATGTGAACGACCTGTAAGGCTCAACACTGGAAGTTTGCCGCGTGCTTCCTCCTGTTGCCGAGATTGGATAGCCCTATCCAACACAAAGGCGGCATAGCCCGAGTCACCGGTCATCGGCGAATCCGCATCCCTCGCCAAAGGCATAGGGGTTAACTCACTCGTTTGCCGCCTCACCAAAGGAGAAGGTGGCTGAGAATGCTTCTTTGAACTCTTTCGCGACGCATCTCTAGAGGAAGATCTTGGTTTCAACTGTTCTGGGCTCCTTGGTTCACGGTCCTCTCTCTTCGTAGTCATTTGCAGACATTGCATCACCGTCTTTGACAGACGTCTCTCACCTGGCTTCAATCTGGTACCAGCTGACGTAGATCGCTGTTGCGATAGAGTCCTAGGTAACGATCTCGCCCGTGACCTTTCACGTAGACTTGTAGATGATTCCGACGGTTTCTGTTTCTTATCCTCCTCTGTGGTCGCTGAAACCACAGAGATAGTCAATGCCTCCTCGACAATTGATTCACCTGCCGCTGGCATTGCAACTTCGCCACCACCAAAGGTCATTGTCGTATCTGCACTTCATCCAGATGCCAATGTTGTTGTGTTCGCACGGTGTCACAGTCCTTGTGTAGGCTGCGTGAGGGTTTGGTATACGATAGTATCGCAGAATGCTCACCTCACCGAACTGTATGCTGTAAGTTGTGCAGAGGGGGAGACACGCGCACTTTGTATGGCTTGAAGGATCGATGACTCAATTACTCTAAACTAGAGCTGAATTCGTGAGTCTTGAGCCGCGTCGTTTGACGACCCTTGAGCCATATATGCCGGCTTATGAGCTTGGTCTGAGCTTGGTAGCCAAAGGCAACGCAAGTGTATCAGATTTGCGTAGTACAACATAGCTCATGATGCGATGACCAGAAATGTTCTAGGCTTCGAGGTGTCTTCGCAGTAGTGGTGGTAGTGTAGTAGCAGCAGCAGCAGCAGCAGCAGCAGCAGTAGTAGTAGTAGTAGCCATAGCAATAGCAGTGGGCCGCCTGCCCCTCTAAAGTGGTAACAATCGTCGGCCTGCTCCTCCAAGTAGTAGTAGTAGTAGTAGTAGTAGTAGTAGTAGTAGTAGTAGTGAGTAACACTAATAAGAATACCACTACCAACACTAGCAATAATAGTAGCGCGTTATGAATTATTTTGCGTATGAAATAGTGCTGAGTCAAACAAGGCTTGGCCTAATGTTGAATAAGTCCGAAGAGAGAAAGACGCTTAACTACCGTATACATCCCTTATAGAACCCTTGAGGTACCGTTGTAGAAGTGAGGGGGCTAGGCAGAGCCAAGCTCACGACTGCACAGACAGTCAGACTCCTGCCCTTTTTGCTGCGAAATCAGAGGAGGTTCAAGATTTTCTTTGATTGAAGGGTCATGTGGAACCCTGCTACCCCGCCCTAATTCAGAATAGGTTTTAGAGGCAGGGATGATGAAGAGGATTTCGAGGAACGTGTTTTTGTTATACTAGGGGTGTTATGGGTGTTGAATAACAAGGTAAAAGGATCACAACTCGGGCTCAACCAAGGTCCAGAGGTCGATAGTTTAGGAGCTCGGGGAGTAGGCTCTTTAAGGAGTTGATCATTCCCCCTCTTCTAGGTAGGTGACGTATGATGCGAAATACTCAACCATTCTGGAGGCAAGGTAACTAAGGGTCTCGCAAGCCCATGGTTCACCCAGGCTCTAAACGAGGGTGTCCCTACTACTGACCAAATCGGAGGAAGACAACCCCCAAATGGGGTCAGAACTTCTTCAAGACCGCCGAAAAGGAATCCCAAGTTCTGAAAACCGCAAACCCGTCCTCAACCGCCAAGATTGTAGAACACACGGTGTCCAGCACAATCCATCCGGGGGCGCCCGTTGCAAAGTCCATGGAGATGCCTTATATACTGCCCTAAGATTGGAGATTTTCAGAGTTTAAAGTTTCGAGTTTAGGGTTTCGCCTTTCGCAATGCCCAAGAAACAGGATAAAGCTTGTTGGGGCATATAAAACAGATCCCCAGGTTTGGAAATGCCCACCTGTCGCTGCCACGCTGGAGATGATGGCCAGTGTGGACAAGGCAGTCATGACATCGACGATCAGCTTCTGCCTGCACGGGACCGCAGCATGGCTTGGTTGGCAACTGAACGTTATAGTGAACCCCCGCGTCCCTGAACAAGCCCCCAGCCCCACCCTGGTCCTAGGCTTGTCTATGCAAGACCTGACCTCCCATAGAATTAAGATTTTGTTTGCAAGTCGTGAATCACAAGACCACTAGTACCCCGGCGTCTACTGAAGCAACAAAATCTCAGGTACGCGTGACAAGACCCACACACCAATTCCAAACAGAAAACACGACTATCCTCAACATCTCAACGGACTGTCTCAAAAACCCTGACGCCCAGAACCATTAACCGCAGGCCCCTTCCCAAAGCAGCCTGTTGGGTTGTTTCATTTGCTCCTTCTGATTGGCGAAGACCAGCGCGCCAGATGTGCCTGTTGCCAGCATCATGGCTAGGGCTAAACGCGTCGGCCTCCTACTTCGCAAGTACGAGCCCGCTTGGCAAGGTCGTCTGGTTGGAGAGGTTGTCATCAACCGCTTTCGGGAGAAGGACCACAAAAGTCGGCCATGGCATCACACTTACAGGCCAAGCGCATCAGTTCGTCCCGCCAAACAACACTCCGCGTTGCTTTGTGGAGCTACCAAATAGTAAATAGCAACTAGATCTCACATGCTCGGTCTGTAAGCATCAGTCGGCTTTGGACTTTTCAGTTGAAATGTTTCCGGTCCAAGTTTGAAGGTCTGGGCTTCCATTTTTCGACTCTCACACTCGCTCAGGACTCGCTCGCTTGGGGGTGGGACATGCCTGTCGACGGAATCTCGTCCCCGAAAATAGCCAGTTGGAGAATGAACCTTGTTCTGTTTTGGAAGGTGGGGGTGGGCTCAGGGGCTTTTGGGTTTACGGCTGAGGTGGGACGAGAACCTAATTATTGAAAGCCAGGCTTGGCCATTGGGCTAAGCAAACCAAACAGACCCTGAACAATATCATCAAAACAAAACCTTCCTGACAATCACCAGGCAACAGATTCAACTGAGTCTGCTCGTCCCTCGCATACTTGTGCACGTCTTCCAGAAACATGCATTTCAAGAACTGATGAAAGGCAATCACATGTGTAGGAGTCTTCGATTTCGTGAGGCCCTTCTTGTTGTTGACCTTCAAGACGTGCTTCTGGTAGATATGCCTCGGGACTGCTCAGAATCATGAAGATCTTTGAAGGTGTCCATGGGCTCCACAAGAGCTAAGAGGATAACTTGGTCCTTCAACAAAACGTCCACGCTTTGAACCCTGGCCAGATAATCCGCAAGGGCGGTTGCCAAATGCCTGGGCCCCAACCCCTCAAATGCCAGGTGCGGTGCCTGAGGTGGTCAATGGGGTATGTATAGCTCCAACAAATCATCATCAGAATGGGGTTTCGGGCGTCAAAGCCTTGGTGGAGGGACAGAACATAATTCAGCACCAACCCTTGCGATAAGAGTATTCCCGGAGTATTTGACACCGCGGGGTGGATTTCGGAAGAGGGGCCCAAACCTCCTAACCCGAGGTGCCTGAGCTCCAAAATGACATCCTCCAGCTCCGCTTCTTCCAGAGAATACGAGAAGCCGGCAGCTTGCGACTTTCCACACCTGGTGTTGAGGGTTTTGGGCACAAGCTGATGCGAACTATGTCGTACCCATACTCATCCCAATACGCCAAGAAACGAACTCAAAGCCTTTCCAACTTTCCAAATCCATTTTAAGGCTTAACACAATGAGCCCTGCGGCCTAAGCAGACAGGAAGATGAACCAGTTCGGGTGACAAGGATGATGAAAACAATCGATAGGGTGTGATAGTCATAGCAAGCTACCTTGATAGCGATGAACAAGGCCACAAGGGAGCATACCGATGACAAACCCGCAATGTCCAATATGCAGCCTGCGACTATGCTGCTGTAGCAGATAAGGACGGCCAAGGAAATGGGTATAGAAAGTGTGATACACATGATCTTGCACGAGTGAGTTTCATGTTAACTTGCAACGATAAACGAAGACAGGGATTACAATTTGCAGGGATGATGAAGGCCGATACGGACGATAAGGGCTTTCAGGGTCAGGCACGATGAGTGACGATGGCAAAACTCCTACGTGAAATGACGGACGCCATTTCAATCTTTAGGATGGCAATGCCGACAAGTATGACAAGGCTACTGAGGAAGGGAGCACGAACAACAGTTTTGGCCTGAAGGCTGCGTGTGGAATCTATAATCCATAGTGTATAAATTGTAGAACAAATGCCTCACAGTCACGACCCACCGGCAAATGCAGAAGGGCATGAAAGGACTCAAGTGACGAAAGTCACCGTGCGGCGAAGACGATGAACATGAACAGCTGACCAAGGATGATACTGACAATTAGTCGCAGAGGGAATGAGCTCGATCTCAACGCGCACAAGCGCCATCAGGTTCTTGAAGAGCTGCTGTCACATCTGCCTGCATGCAAGGAAGGCAGGCACACGCTATGACACCAGAACTGAACCAACAGGTTGCGAGCTGAGCCACACAAGTCATATGACGGGTATCACGCAGCAAATCTGTTAACATCTGCGATGGAGAGAAGCAGCCAAATCATGGATTTTTTGGCCGAAACGTGTAACCTGATCACGGAACATGATGCAGCCTCTTCGCCGTTTGAGTGCAATGGGGTTGGTACAAGAGAACCGAAAAGAGTCATGAGAACTGCATCAGGACTGTTCAAAGTGCGAAAGCCAAGAGTTTCTAAACATTTCACGTCCTGCAACGGCCCCGCGCTCCATGGGTCCAGTTGCCCGAGCAGCACCAAGCGCCAAGCGCACTTTTGCGCGACAATGGAGATCATCTCCACTTCGACAGCATAGCTGCTCCACGCGACGTGCACAGGCCTGCTGCCGGTGGTATCCAGGATGAGGCTCACACCATCCATGCCCCAAAATGCCGTGGAGCTCTTCAGCAGCAACGTAGAAAGCAGTGGTGGCCGCTCGCGCAGTGCACGCCGGGAGGCTTTGACTGAAGCTGTGGGCCGCATGGTGGATGATGCTCCCCTCGTCATTCGTAACATGAGCACCTCGTGACAGGTCGGGAGAACAGCCCGCGAAAATGGTCGAAGAAGGTCCTCCAGTGTGTGGCGCAACGGAACGCTGCAGCGCCAGCTTGGCTGGACAGCGGCTCAAGCGGGCAGTGCGAACCTTCAACGACATGCGCCAGTTGGCTGGACATCGGCTCAAGTGCACCGGGTAGGTGGCGCAGATGTAAGCCGCATGGATATGACAAGCGGGATCATGAGTTTGGAGCTCGCTTCGTTGAGAAGCTGCAGATGCGAGGTGAGCGGGCAGTATACAAACCTTCAATTGGCGACCACCAAGGCAGTCTTTGCAAGGTTGGTCTGGACAGGAAAGGGCCGCATCTGGAGTTTTCTGCGTGGGGGCTAAAGGACGAAGCATACTCATCCAGCTCCTGCCGCATGTCGTTGAAGGTTCGTATTCCAAGGTGCCCCCCGAAATGGCCGTCGGAATCCGAAATTAACCTGCTTAAGTTGCTCGCGGACCATTGAAACTCGAATCAAACCATCCCTCCAATTCGCTTGGCATGGACCCTGCAGCTCCTCCCCCCCGTCCATCCGGCCCATGGAGCATAAAGAGGAGAAGGGGGCAGCATAGACTAAAATCAGATTGGCATAAAACTGACACCAGTCTCAAGCATAACATGGACAAAAGCAATGGGGCCTAGGCCTCCCCGCCCTGCCACCTGGCCCTGGAGCATAACAAGGAAACAAGGCAGCATAAAAATATCAGACTGGCATAAAAACAGAATAAGAAAAACCCTGTCGACAATGGGATGGAGACAGGAGGTGAATGGAGACATGAAGGTGCAGCATAAAAATTAAAACCCTCAGCATAAAAAATAATACCCACTCCCATATGCATATAAATATAAATTAAATATAAATATAAATATAAATATACATATAAACATATTTATTTATATATATATATATATGTCATACCTGCATATAGAGATAGTATCATCATTTACATAGATACACGTGTTTATCTCTATCTTATAGGTCGCACTCCAGCCATTCCACTTTACAATGACGAGGAAACACAGGAAATGATTTATAGGTAGGTAATAATTGATAGCAATGGGCAAGTGCCAACCCCGAAAATGCAAGAGCGAGCAGAGTAGTGGTTGCGTGGCACGCGGACGGAATGGAAGGAGGAGATGAGGCAAGTACCATGACAGGGAGACGTCCTCGTCGTCGTCGGATCTGGAGGTCCAGCCCCGTCCCCTCCACCCTCAATCCTGAAATCGACTCGCGAACTTACGCGAAAAAGTGCCTCTTGCCAAGGAGAGGACGGCGAAGCGGGGCAATCAAGATATATGTTCTGCATTTTGGGGGGCTCACAGGGGCAGAAAAGCAACAACCGCACCGGGGCAAAAACGCATAGGCCAGGGGCTGAAACGAAATGGCACGAGGCGGGAGGGGGCAATATGCACTGTGTGTCCTAAGATTGTCGACATAGCGGTTGATCTAAGTATTGTTTAGCCTTGTCCACTCCCCACCCGCCTGGCGTGGTACCTGTGATCTTGCTTGGGTTCTTGGTCTCTCGGCTTAGGGTTTGCGATCCTTCATTTATGGGTTGCAGTGTCAGGCGTGGGCATTGGGATTTTTGTTGTAGGTAGTGGGCTCCATTGTGAGGGAGTGGAGAAGAACATGGGGCCGTATGCTTTTTCTTGCCCGGATTGTTCTGGACAAGACCAGGGAACTTACAATACCCGAAACAAGTATATTTTCGTAAGGCGTAAAGGTTAGTAGCTGCAGCTGTCCCTTCCAAGCAATCATAACTAACGGCACTTTTCAGATATTCTACCAAACCGCCCCTGCTCAAACCCTCAACACTGGGCCAAGGAAGTATGTAGGCTTTCGAACCCAAATCCAAAGGTTTCGATTGGAATCTTTGGGTCCAGGCACTTTTTGACCGCCTCCATGAGGTCGCGTGCCATAATGACCTATGCAGCGATCTTCCTAAAAGTTTTAGGGTTAAGCATCCAGCGTGTAGGAAAACTGGCGTAGAATACGATTCCGGGACATGTCCAAAAAAATAGTCCGTGAAGCAGAAATCTTACTAATCGCTTCGGCTCCATACAAGTTGAACCCGAGCCTGCGTCTGATGCTGCTCTGCGAGAACCCTCTCAAGGCGGGCTCGAATGTTGTCCCGGACCTGCTTTTCCCGCAGTGGGCTGCCCGTCCTTGGGCATCTGCGGTGCGGCTGAAGGCTTCGGCTTGGGGCTTGGGATTGACTGTATTGAAGGTTTCGCGTAGATTTGTGACTTACCACCCCTCTTGCTTGAAAACAACGCTCTGCTGAGCAAGGGCCGGCTTCGATGCCTTGCTGACCGTGACTTCAACATCCAGGAGCCCCCCGCCCCGAAGCTTCACTCGCCGCCGCTCGCCAGGGGTCACCGTGCCGCTGGCCAAGGCAAACTTGTGACCACTGGCCCAAACCTCCGCCTTACACTGTGCAGCAAGGATTGAGCGTTGGAGTTTAAAGCGTTGACAGCAAATCAGAACTTACGTGTCCTGCACGTGCAGGGTAGCGATTAACTTACTGTAGCCCAAAAAACGCGGCCCCAAAACAACAACTGAATCCCACCCCAAGACCCTCGAAGCTTTAATATACCCCGCCTGACTCTAAACCTCCACTCCAAACGCTAGATTTGAAGCCCTTCACCCTAGGCCCTGGACTTTGCAGGGCACAGCAGCTGTAAAGTGATGGGGGCATGGCTTTGGGACCTCCATGAAGCAATCCATGCCAACCTGAATGCGGGTCGTTTGGAGAAGGTCAGTTGCTTAGATTTGTTTTGTTGTGCTCCCTCCCTCCCTCCCTCCCTC